ATGTTCAGCTTCAAATAGCAAATTGGATTTATTCCTCTGATTTCTTATCAGACATTTGGCAGTCTCCAAAGTACCTGTGTCCAGGTCCTGTACATATAATGGTGAACGCAGGAGAAGGGGTCTCCTTGTCCTCTTGACCTAGCTATGAGTTTAAAAAGTAAATGAAAGTATGAAATAGTTAGCTGTGATCTCAGCAGAAGAGTGAAGAATAGATGAATGTCTATTGAAGTCATAAATCAAGGGTGCTTAACCCAGTACAGACCAGTCAGGGAAAGCTTCCTGAAGAATATGAAATTTAATCTGAGACTTGGAGGATGAGCAATTCATTGAGCAAAGGGAAGAGCACCAGGGAACAAGGACAGGAAAGGAATGGTTCCTAGGTCATTTCACAGGGCACTGTGGACTAGCAATCTGCAGTCTGGACCAGGACTAGCTCCCATTGTTGGCTGCGACCCTCTCATGACCTTTCCTAGCCCAGCATGGAATTGTCCTCACATACTGCCATGGCTTGTTTCCTGGGAAGGTCCTCACAGTATTGATTGTGTAACTTCCTTTTGAAATGATTCGGCAGCTGGCCTGCTTGGAAAGGAACATTTCTTTTTAGTCTCAGCTGTTTTTCTTCCTGGATGTCTGACTTGAGGACCAGCCCGTAATATCAGGTAGACAAGACGAGCTGTCATAGGAGAGCCAAAGCAGCAGGTGTACTGGTTTGAACACCACCTTTGGACGCCACAAGGCTCTGTCTCTGGGTTCACACAGAGGCTCAGCTGCATAGAATTTTTACTTGTGCTCATTTAGTCTTGGTTTTCTTAACTTTCAAATGGGTATGGTAGCCATCTCCTGAAACAAACAGGAACACTGAATGACATGAGATGACATGGGAGGCATGTAGCAGTGGTTTGGCACAGTGCTTATAAAGGATTTGTTCCTTCACATCCACTGAAGCATGCTGCTCTGTGCCAGACACATAGAAGGACATTCTGTAAAGCAAAGCTTTGTACAGACTTTCCAAGAGCTGTCCTCTGACATACCAGCCTTTACCAGTTGAACTTTAAGAAGCCTGTCTGTTGGTAATGGGATTTGGGCCCTTGCTATATCACATTCACGGGTCTGTTCTACCTTCTCTACAAGGGCAAAAAACTAAAGTGCAGGCCCCGGGCCTACAAGAAGCAACTGCCTCACTTTTGGCTTTGTGGCACATCTTAGCATACCAACCTCTATGGTTCTAGGTAGTGTTAGAGGACAGCTTACAGAACAGGAGGAAGCTCCACATCAAACTTTCTTCCAACAGCTTTAGTTATATCCTCTTGAAGTCCTGCCTACTGAGAATTTGAGCTTGTGTCCTTGGTCCTTTGCTAAGGAGCTCACCTGGGAGGGTTGCAATCTTTGAAAGCACAGGGGTGATGATGGTAAGCTTACAGCCTCGTGGACAAGCTAAGGTTTCTAGTTAGGAGGGTGTTACTAGGAGGCCTTTTTGGCTCATCTGCTGTCTTTCAAAATGTAGACTCTCAGCAAGGTTAGAATGTTAGTGTGGGAAGGAGTTGTACAGTGTGGTTGGTTGTGAAACATAATCTTTCTGGTGGTACTTGTGAGGAGGAAAGAATGAACATATTGTTCCAGAGGGAAGAAATTTCATAGAGCCAAAGTACAAATTTCCATTTAAAGTTGTCTGCCAGATTGCCTCATAAACTCATTCCCATTTCATTCAGGGAACAAAGTGCTTTCACTTTGGCTCCAAATTTGATTTGAATCATGAGCCTTCTTGGCTACTGACTCTTGCCTCCTGCTTCAGAAATATTTTCTTGGTCTTTTTGTAGCTCAGCTTGATTAGCAAAGTATGCAAATTTGTCAGGTAACTAATAGATCATTTAATATTGAAATTTTCAAACTGTGTTTTTATTTTGCTAATGTCAAAATAATGGGTAGATGGCTGGTTTATATTGTATTAAGCTAAGTAGTATGAACAGATATTTCATAAGTACCTTGTTTGGCAAATATTTTACAGTAATAAATGAAACGTTCATCAGGAAAAACCAAATTATTGTTGTTGTTGCTTATGTAGTTAGTTGCATTCCTTCAGACTGTTAACAGCTTAAATTCAAGAAACTATAAGAGGTATCCGCCTGTTCGATATTTATATTCTAGACTTACGTGATGATAGTCTATGAATGCTTTTATCTGTTTTCTTTGAACATTTATCTTAAAATTTGCAGTAAAACTATTGGATTCAAATAAATGGTAAATATTTTGCATTTGTGTGAACTCTATCTAAAAATTAGCTAGTCCTGACTGGTGCCTAGAGGTCCAGTGCCCCTGAAGTCTCATGGATGTGTGTTTCTGCTGTCCGTTAGACATCACGCAGAAGAAAGGCTTCCCTCCTGTTCCTTCCTCCTGCTAAAGCCCCGTCTCTGCTAATGGTTTATTGACTCGCCCGCTGTGCAGGTGGAACCCTTACCTAGAAACCCCAGCATCTTTTCTGAGTTTCTCAATTCTATTTTATCTCCTAATTATCACCTTATCTATACCCCCCCTTACTTCCTTCTGCCAGTCTATATTGTCCCATGTCTAGCTGGCCTACTTGCCTTCTGTCTTGCTACCCCCACCCCCACCCCGTTCCATTTCTCTCTGATTGATGACTTTACTGACTTCCGACCTCCAGTACTTCTGGGGGAATCATACAGAAAAACCTTTGCAGTCTAGCTGTCATCTGCTCCGCAGGCTTCTTTCTCTGCCCACTCCTCCTGCAGCTTTCACCTCAGCCTCGCTGAACTCCCCATTTCCCGAAGCCTGTGTGCACCACAGGCTTCACTCTCCTCTACTTCCGCTGGGCCACCCTGTCCCCATAATGACTTTGTGACACAACTCATGGTCTCCTCATTCATGCCTACTTTGCGGCTAGTCACTGTGCCATCCTGAGTTTCAGTGGATGCCAGTGAAAGCATTGGGTCCCCAGGTTATCCCTTCTGTCCTATTTAGCTACAAAGTCTGGGCTTCCCCAAGGCCTATGCCCTTTCATGCTGGATGGTGTGCTAGAACAGCTCACAGAGTATAGAAAGGCATCTTACTATCACGAGCTCGGGACACAACTTCAGGGATTGCCAAATGAGCCATTATGGTAGGTGCCACAGATCCTCCATGCCCTCTCCAGGCCTGCATTGCCCAGCACCTCAGTGTGCTTAGCCCTTTCTGAAGAAACCCATTGTCTAGGGGTTTTTGTGAAGATGTCCTTATATAGGCGTGATAGATCGTAAGCCCTTGGTGAGAAAACCTAAACTCCAGCCCTCTTCCATCCTTGGAAGAGAGGAAGGAGGGGCTAAAAATTCCAACTCTCTAAAGGCAGCTTGGCTTTCTGGTTATCAGTCTGCATCCTGAAGCGACTTAGGGACCCTCAGCTTCCAGATACCTCTTGAACATACAAAAGACACTTACTGGTATGGAGATCCCAAGGGCCTAAGATCTATTTTCAAAACGCCAAGGATGTAAACCAAATATTTATTCTACAGCCTCTGCTATAGATACTTTATTGTAATCCCCACTGTGTTTCCCATCCACCACTACTGTGATTGTCCATAGAAGAATGATCACTTACTCAGCTGTCATCTAGTGAGCCAAGTTTTCCTTGGCATCTAACCCAGATCTTCTGTATTTGTTCTTAGAATCACAAGATCATGTCTTGATATGTATACTCCTACTATTGAAATGTAGTCTCCACATCTGTTGCCCAAAGATTTGAAGGCAGCATTTCAAACAGATAGTAATATTCACTCCCTGTGGCTAAAGGTCCATTAACAGTGATTGGATAACCAATGGTTATATACATGTGCATAGTATGTGTATGTGTGTGTGTATGTGTGTTTGAGGGGGGGAATGTACACATAACTAAACACAGCAACCCCTAATTGATGTCCATCTGTCTCTTATCCACAAAATCTGATTGGTCCTAAATTGCAGTGTTAATAAACTATGAACACGTTTAAACACCATTCATAACAATATATTTAATATAACATTTTTGTTTTGTGAGGGGTTGTGAAACATTTATCTCATGTTTGGTTTGTCAGCATTCCTTGAGTACTTGCTCATGTGCATTTCTTTTGTCTAGTTTTGAGTCAGGTCTTACCACGTTTCAGAGGCTGACCTGGAACTTGCTTTGTAGCCTAAGCTATACCTGCACTTTTTATTTTCCTGTCTCAACCTCCAAAGTGCTGGGATCACAAGTGTGCCACCTTACTTGTGTATTTTTCACTACAATAAAATAAATGAGCACGAACCCTCATCTTTCTGTCAGAGGCATTCTTAAGAAATGGTAAAATCTGCCAGGCATAGTGGTGCAGCCCTTTAATCCCAGTATTCAAGAGGCAGAGGCAGGCCGATCTCTGTGAGACTGAGGCCGTCCTGGTCTACATAGTGAGTTCCAAGACAGCTACAGGGAGACCATGTCTCAAAAATCCAGGGGAAAAGGGGGGCTGGAGAAATGACTCAGCAGTTAAGAGCACTGGCTGCTCTTTCAGAGGACTCAGGTTTGGTGCCCAGCACCCACATGGCCACTAATAACTGTCCATAATTCTAGTTCCAGGGGATCCAATGTCCTCATCTGACCTTCACGGGCATTGTACAGCATGCGTACACTTACATACATGCAGGCAATACACTCAGATACACGGTACAAAATAATAAATATATATTTTCTTAAATCTAGAAAAAAATAGTAAATCTGTTTATTTTAAAAATATACCCAAAGGCAGAGAAATGCCCAGGATTCTTGGCGTTTTAAGATAAAGACTTAAAACAGTAATGCATCAGTATGAGAGATTAAAATTTATATGAAATTGTCAGGATTTTTTTAAGGAGGGATAAGGTGTTTTGTTTTGCTTTTGTTTTGCCTGTTTGTGAATTTGTACTCTGTAGTTACTTTTGAATCCTGTAGAAAAGCATTACATCAGGACAATTGTCTATTACAGTTTATGTAATACGTGTAAATGCTTTTCTTTCTTTCCCAGATTCTTTACAGAGTTGGAAGCAAGACATCAGAATAATATCTTCATAGATGATATAAGTGACATTGTGGAAAAGCACACAGCATCCACATTTGATCCCTATGTGAAATACTGCACCAATGAAGTCTACCAACAAAGAACACTACAGAAATTGTTGTAAGCCATTGAATGCTGCTTTTGATAGTCTAACCTTTTAATTAGAGCTCATTGACTGAAATCAGTTAATCTCTTAAGTCATAGATATGCCTCTTAGTGGACTGTTTCCCACTCGAGACATATGTAAGGGGATTACTTTCAGGGCGAGGATGTTTGAGTCTGTGGAGAATTTCCTCTCTAAAGCATTTATAAAATGAATGTTTGTTGAGACTGTTGTCTTTTTTACCCCTTTCTTTCTCTGAGTTATCCCAAAGCATGAGCCATCATCACTCTCCCTCCCACCTTTCCAAACAAATAACTGGCCATTAAGTGGTTTGCCTAAGACTAAGAATGGGTTCTTAAGTGGGCAAAGCTAGACACTAGGATCCAGGGTTTTCCTGAGTATTCTACCCTCTCTGGTCAGCTGTTTACAGGAATTGGAGGATCCTTCCTCTCAGCTCCTGGGTAGATAGGGCCGAACTGCAGTGGGAGGTTTAAAAGAAAGGGAAAGATATTCTCGAATATTTTAATTATGCCACAAAGAGAAGTCAAGTTTCCCCTTCCGTACTTTTCCTTCTTTCCTTTTTAGACTGTGGAGAGTTTTGATGTGAGATACATGCCTGCCTCCACCTGTGAATGAATCACACAACTGTGCAGAAGTTTATATATGATTCTATTTTTTTTTATTGGTCTTTTTGAGACAGGGTTTCCCTGTAGCCCCAGCTAGCCTGGAACTCACTACGTAGACCAGGCTGGCCTCGAACTCACAGAGATCTGCCTGCCTCTGCCTCCCAAGTGCTGGGATTAAAGGCTTATACGGTTCTATTTTTAGAGGCCCCACTCACCATAAGTAGCTGTTTTACACTGTAGTTGTCCACTGTGAACCCAGTTTGCTGCTTCCTGGCTATTGTTAGCACCCACCGCTTCTGGGAATTGGTGACATTTGTGACCACAGCATGAAGCCTCTGGTCACTTCAGGCTAGGTGTGAAATCTCTGAGGGGGTTTAGGGGATGAGAATGAAGTGGCAGGAGAATAGGGACTGAAGAGGGAAACATCAGGACTAATATATGTAAGAAATCAGTTGGCAAAGGCGGATTGGAAGCCCTTCCCTACCTGGGATTCATGGAACAAACAGAGCATGCTCAGGCAGAGGAAGCCTGGCAGCCCTTCCCCATCGCCTCTTCTTGGAGTAAAGGGAACATGAATGAGAAAAGCCTGTGAAATACAAATCTGAGAGTGGCAAGTGTTAGGCAGATGCTCTATAAAGGACAGTGCCCTAGAGGCCCAACACTTTATGGGCTCTTTCCCACTAGTCCACTCCCACCCTGGGTGTAGTTCTTGCCCTGGGACGCAAGAGCCTAGAATTGGGTACCCTCTAAACTCAGATGCTTGGCTCAGCACTTCTGCCCACTCCCTCTGGCCTCCTGCTCTTCCTCTTCCTCCCTCCCTCCCTCTCTCTCTGTTTCTCTCTCGCCCACATTTTGTTATTCAGCTATTCTGCTTGCCAACCTCCACTTTCTTCCTCTTCTCTGTCCCTGCTCCAGGCAGCTGCCAAGATTTACAGCTTGTCTGGCCTGTGGTTTTTCTCTCAAACTCGGATGAAATTGTCCTAGAACTTACGTCTGAGTCCATTTTTAAATTTCTTCATTAATGAGACTGGAAATCCAAAGGAGATCAGTTTTCCCAGTAACAATGACCGTTCCCAGTATGGGAGGACGAGCTGGTGCTACTGCCTCTCCTTCCCATCTCTTCCCAGGCCCTGCATCTCCTTCCCATCTCACACCAGGCTCTGCGTAGGCAAGATGGAAAACCCCCAGCTGCCAGCTCCAGATGAGGCTTTTCATGCAAAGGGTTTGCCTCCACTTTGGGAATTTCAGCCTAGTTAAGTCTGTCGTGACTGATGCCTGGTCGCATCTCCTTCCCATCTTCATCCCAGGCCCCGCATCTCCTTCCCATCTCTTCCCAGGCCCCGCGTCTCCTTTCCATCCTCATCCCGGCTCTGCGTAGGCAAGATGGAAAACCCCCAGCTGCCAGCTCCAGATGAGGCTTTTCATGCAAAGGGTTTGCCTCCACTTTGGGAATTTCAGCCTAGTTAAGTCTGTCGTGACTGATGCCTGGTGCTTTGCAGAGTATTTAGCTGCATCCTTGGCTTCTCTCCACTTGATGTCAAAAATAATCTCCAGCCTTTACAGAAGATCCCTGAAAGGCAAAATCACAGCTCTCACTTTCTTTCACCCTGCACACGCTGTCCTAACCTCTGATGGAGGGACAGAGGTTACTCTGTAACTGAACATACAAGTTCATGTTTGAAAGCAAAGCCTTGGATTAGAGCTAACTTTGGTTTATATTGTTCTTGTATATTTAAGAATCATTAGTAATATATGAATTTATCACAGCATGTGATCATACATTTTTACTTGCTTCTTAACTTAAAAGGAAATATTTTGAATTTCCTTTTTGCTTTGCTTTCCCACAGAGCCACCAATCCCTCTTTTAAGGAAGTCTTGTCACGGATTGAGTCCCACGAAGACTGTAGGAACTTACCCATGATCTCTTTTCTCATTCTCCCCATGCAGAGAGTGACCCGCCTTCCCCTGCTGATGGATGTAAGACATGACTTCGTAGCTTTGTCCTCTGTGGATACCAGTCCTGCTATAAATCTGATTAACTAAATCACTGTAATTCTACTTAAATTTTTGCATATCTCTTTTATAAAATCCCCTAAATGAGAAGACGTTGTTTAGTTGGAAACTTTGTTTGGTGTCTCTGGACTTTATCTTTAATTTAGACTTGTGTGGTCACTTTGATGAAGCTTTATTACATTGCTCACTTTTTTGAAATGGAAAAATATTGGCATCTTGAGGTCAAGAGGCTTGGATTCTGTTTTCGGTTGTACCACTAAGCATGAGATCTTAGGCAAGTCACTTTGTTTAAGCCTAAGTTTCCCCAAGTTAAGCCTAAGTTCTCCAAGGGATTCCTAAGATCCCTTCTGTCTTAAATGTCTCAAGATGTGCTCGACCCAATTTCCCTTGGAAATGTGATTCTTTTCAGCAGGACAAGGTGTAAACTAATCTCTACCATGCATCACATAAAGTGGGTTAGAAAGCCCAGCATCCCTTTGGTATTAGATAACAGTCATGAGGAAAACAAGAGTTTGACTTTGAGTAATGACAAAGCTCATGTGAGGAAAGGGAGCAGAAACCATGTGGCCTATGACAGGGCCTGCCTGGCCAGTGGGCAAAGAGTGTCTTTTGATCTAATTAGGATAGACTGTCACAGATGTACTTTAAAAAATGGGTCATTACATTGGCATAGTATCAGTTTTTAGGTATTTGAGTTTAACAGACCAAAACACAGAATAAGAATGTGTTAGAAATACATGATCGAGTAAAGTTGCAAAATAGATTCCATTTTCTATAGTCTACTATAAATTTCAAGAGAGATATTCCCAAACAACAGTGAAGTGTGTGATTATGTTACTTTTTTTAACTCCATCCTAATTGTGCAACAGCTTTCCCAGTTACTTCAGAATTCTAATTCACGGCACCTTCCCTGTTCCTCAGTTTGCTGTACTTACCTGCCACATCATGTATTTAGGAAGTTGTTTTTCTGTACTACTATGGTACCATTGGTTAATGATGGGGACACATTCTGTGAGATCACCTTAGGAGACCACTGTCTTCTATGCAGTCCATCATTGGCCCCAATTGGGAAACTTGATGTTTTGAAAAACTGAGTTCAATTTTTTTAGGTCAGTATGTCTAAGAATAGAATGTATTAATAATTAGGCTATCAAAACAAAAGTTTTGAGATAATCAGTTTAAAAGACTGGGTCTTCAATTTCTAACACATCAGGCTGTGCAGTGTTGGATGTTTTGTCGTGATTGCACAAGCTCTTCGTGCTTTCTGTCACTGCTTTGTTTGAGATTCTGAGTGAAATGTAGTCTTCTCACAAAATTAATATGTGCACACAAGTTCACATAAAATGTTATCGTATAGATTCCAGTGAAGGAGGCTGCTCTCAGTGACATGGTCCAGGATTTTTCCTTCTGTGTTCGTTAAGTGGGTGATGAAATTGATTTTCAAGTCATCAGCACAGTTTTTTTAAAATAATTTATTGAGAATTTCATACATGTATCTAAAGTGTTTTGATCAAACCCATGCCCACTCCCTCGCTTCCAACTCCTCCCATATCTCCCCGTCACTTTTTTCTGATAACTTCATGTACTCTACAGCTCAGTTTTTAAAAAAGCAAAATAGAATAGAATATGAAGTGTTTGGTGTGCGCAAGGTTTATAATGTGGTTAAATATTATTTCTAAAACCCTTGCTTAATTTATGTGCAGATATGTACAGGTTGCAGTATATTTCTTATAGTGGGTCAAAATTTGAAAAATAAGAATTATTTCATTAGTACACATAGAATGTACTCTGTGCTTCTCACTTATAGTAATTTCACTGCCCTACTTTCAGACTTACAGACTTGACACTCATTTGTAGTTAAGACACTGGTGACCTGCTTGTTACCAACCACATTCTGCCTCTTTTTGGTGATAGTTGCTCTTATCTATTCCCCATATGTGAAATCCAAAGCAGAATCAAATATGTTTTAAATACTGTCTCTTTAATTTACTCCATTTTGGAACTTTACTTAAACTTGTTAATGGAGGATGAACATTTTAACACAATTAAAATGGTTCCCTGAGCTTTCAGAATTATATGTACAAACTAAGTGTCCCAAGTCTAAACATGAAATGTATTTGTATTATTACACACCTTATACACATAGTCTGAAGACAATTTATATTTGTACATGATAATTCTATGTGTAAAACAGCTTTTTGGTGTGTTTTCCATTTGTGGTATAATTTATATTAATAATAATAATAATAATTATTATTATTATTATATTTTAGTCTTTTGAGACAGGTCTCCTTGTAGCCCCAGCAGGCCTAGAACTCACCACATAGACTAGGCTGAGCTCAGTGTCACAGAAATCTTCCTGCCTCTGCCTCCCAAGTCCTGGTATTAAAGGCATGCACCACCACACCCGACTGGTGGTGTGATTTTGACAGTCAAAAAGTTTTGAATTTTGGAAGGTTTAGGATTTCAGATTTTTGTATTTCAGATATTCGCATTTCAGCTTATGTTGAATTGATCATCAAAGTAATTCGTATTTATTGAGGGTTGACTATATGCCAGACACTTAGATAAGATCTTTGGATGAATTACTGTTTCACCCTTGAAACAGGGCTGGGTAGGTAGGAACACTGGATTCACGTGGGCAAGGCCCAGGTTGGCTCCCTGGCACAGGAAATAAAATATGATTAAATAACAAATCCTTGTAGTAACCTTTCGTTACACTTGTCATTTCTGCAGTTTTATAGAAGAGGGAAACGAGGCTTATATGGGGCCAAGCACTAAATACGTAGCATAGAGCAGATCCAAGATTTGCCAACAGACCTACTGACCTCTGAGGTCTGCCCTGTCATTTACCATTCCCTGGATTCGTTTGAAGCTAATGTAGTTAAGGATTATTTTCTAGTTTTGTTAATTGGATTTTAATATCACCCTCATTTGTAATGTGTTAAATGATGTTTTGTGTATGAGCAAATGGTTGAACATTAATTTTATTTTACTTAGTATGATAAACCAATTGATTTTTCTTGTTTTACTTCATCATAGACTATCTGTCAGAAAACACCCAAGGACTCTCCAAAGTACGAAGTCTGTAAAAGGGCCTTAAAGGAAGTCGGCAAGGTAACTGTTTACCATGGTAACAATCAAACATGTACAAAGCTTGGAAGTCTGCCTGTGCTTGCTGCTCCAGATCGAGATTCACACAATCTAAGCAGCACTCATCAGCGGCTGGGAAACCAGTAAAGCTCGCTGTGCTCATGTAAAATCAGCATGTTTGCTGTTTTCACACAGTTTCTATGTTAAGGACCTATAAATATCTCATTTTTCCCTGATGTGTGAGTAGGTGCTTATTCATTTTCTCCTTTATTAAGTATTTATTGAGTATCAACTACTATGTCAGGAATAATGCCAGCCTCGGAATATTTGGTGATAAAGCCAGCATGATTATTGAATTACAGTATGTACAGTATAGAGAGAAAGGCATTAAATAGAGCACAGTAAAGGGTGTAGAGTGGTATCAGAGGGGAGTACAGAGTGATGTGTCAGCTCTCTACAGCAAGAATAGCTGTTAGCTGTGAGCCAGGACGTGGAGAGAGTGTCTAGGTATGTTGAGACCCAAATGCAAATGTTGGAGGATTGAAGAACCCAGAGACAGAGAGTGAATATGAATGAATGAATGAATGAATGAATGAGTGAGTGAAATACGAACTAGGGAGCCTGCTATATATGTTAAGGAGTTGGAGACCATATCCTAAGATGATGTTGAGGCTATAAATTCATATGTTATGGAGATAACCATGGAGCTGGGGCCAGCTTATAAATGAATAGGCAAAAGATGAGTGGCCTCTGATAGGAAGGTGGAGAGAAATTGTGTGTGTATTTGTGTGTGTGTGTGTGTGTGTGTGTGTGTGTGTGTAAATAATTTAGAACTAGGCAAGTTATTTACACATTTAAGGATAGTAGTCAAGGAAACAGGACCTCTGATTGGACAACTGGGTAGGTTCATTTATCTATCACTGTGGGAGAATAAAATTCATTCTGGATATGTTCATGTAAATCCTATAGAATATATATTCTGTTCTCATAAAAAGTTAAGACCCCAGAGGAAAGATACCAATTGGAGACATAGATTTGGGAATCACCAATTTATAGGTGACATTTGAGGTTAGGAATGGGGAAGGAATTATCTAGGATGAGGGTACAGATTGTGAAGCACATATGCCCATGGTACAGTCCTGGGGACACCAGTATTTATAGGCTTGTTTGGGGAAAGGGAAAATAAATGTGGGAAATGGCGGCCTAGCTCACCAACGCCTCTGGAAGACAAAGAGAGATATGAATGAGGTGTTCACTGGGTTCACCATCAGCTACCTTATGTCCTTGGGTGACATAAAAACCAGATAGTATGCTGATGAATGAGTGGGGAAGTCGTGAGATCTAGATAACTAATAAAGTGTATTTATGTACCTATGAATGTTATCATTATACAGAAATATCCCAGCATTGTACATATCAAAACTTTCAGCTATAGTTTGAGGTAATTAGAAAGGAATTTGTCTTAGTTTCTTTTCCTGTTGCTGTAATAAAATATTCTGGCAAAAGCCACTTAAGGGAGAAAGGGCTTATTTGGCTCACAGTTCCAAGTTACATCATTGCAGAGAAGTCAGGATGGCAGGAACCTGAAGCAGCTGGTCACCTTACTTGGAGTCAAGAGCAGAGAGCAGTGAATTCAGGCATGCACTAGTGCTTAGCTCACTTTCCCCACTCTAATACAGTCTTGGTACTCTGCCCAGGGTAATGGTGACACCCACAGTGGACGGGTCCTCCCACATCACTCAACATAATTAAGATTCCTTCTCACAGACATTCTCAGAGGCCATGTGATTTTAGATTCTTTCAAGTTAACAGTTAACACCACCTATCACAGCAGAATAAGACTTCTCTGTTTCATTCTTCAGCACTGCTCTATAAGCATGTATTCAGTGTGTAGGCACGTGTATCTCAAAAGTAAATAAAGGGGTGGATGAGATGGCTGAGCAGGTAGAAACACTTGCCACACAAGCCTGACATCCAAGTTCCACCCCAGAACTCATGGGGAAAGAAGCAAACCGACTCCCAAAACATGCTTCCTTGTGGGCACAGTGATCCTACTAGGTAGAACTGTGGGTTCTTTAACTATCAGAACAGAAGCACTGGAGCTTCCCAAGTGCTAATGATTTCCCAAGAGAGATCTGAAATTGAAAGTGAAGTTTCTCTCCAGACCTCTTAACCCTTCCTTATTCTGTGTTCCCAGTTGGTCCGTCTGTGCAATGAAGGAGCCCGGAAGATGGAAAGGACTGAGTTGATGTATACAATTAACTCCCAGCTGGAATTTAAGATTAAGGTAGCACCTATGTTTACTACTTCTATTTAATTCTTATCTAAATAAAGAGAGTCGAGGCTAACAAAGTAAATAGGAATTAGCTTTTACAAGAAGGGTCATGAATTCAAGGGAGGCTGGTAGAGGGCTCAGCAGAGGCCTAGGAAATTCTCTCTAGACCATGAAGGGTATCAGCTAAGAAGCATTATCCCTGTCCCCAGGAAAACACCAACTCTCCTTGGAGACAAGGAGAGTTAAAATAGTAAAACTTTATAGTTGATAGGAAGATTCCTCAGATAATCAGAAGGTCTGGCAAAACAATGGTATCCCATGGGTTGGACCAGGTGTTCATCCAAATAAGGATGCTACTTTTGTTTTTGTAGAAAAGATTGCTAATGGATGACTTTTTTGAAACTTGTTTCTTTCACATAACTTTTCCTGAAACGTGCCGCCTGTGGCTGCTTGTCTGATCTGCTCACGAGCAGAGGTCAGGATGAATAGACAAGCAGAAAATGACAATTAATGGTAAAGCTGGTCACGGCCAGTTCTTTGTTGGGGTTCTTAGTGGATATGCTTGCCACTGTGATTCAATTTTGGTATAAAACACATAAAATTTAATTAGGCAATTTAAAGCGGCCCCATATTTTCCTAGCAAAATGTTCCTAACTTACGCTGCAGATTCATCGTAATGAGAACTTCTCTGTATTCTGCAGAAAGCTCCTTCTCTGCCATGTTACAGAGTTTGAGAACCATTGATAAGATACAGCCACACCCTTGTATTGTATAAATGGAGAAAACAAAGCACAGATGGTAACTGTCCACACAGTTACTCAACTAGTGGTAATGAAATTTAGGACTAGGGTGAAATCGGGCCTAGGGTTCCAGGTGTTCTGACATGCAAGTGGATGCAAACTCTTCCACTGTGATACCCTGGCTGTAATCATTTAGATGCAGAAAAATCATTCATGAAAATAGAAGTGATGGGCTAATTTAAACCATTTAGAAATATCATTTAGCATAACATAGGACCTTATAACTCTTGGTTATAAAAGTTATTGTTCATTTTAAGGATGAGAGGATTAGAAGTTCAATGCGGTTGAATGATTTGTTCAAGAATATGCACACAATCATATTTTTCATGAAGATGGTTTTAACTTGCAAGAAAGGCCTTTTATTATAATTTCAGAAGTCAGAAAAGGGAAAAATGCTGATTTCATTATGTGAAAACCTTTCTCTACACAAGAACAAATGAAGATCATTTTTAAAAAAGCCAAAGAGCAAACGCCATGTTTATATGGAGTAAATATCCTTATTTTATAAAATCAAAGTTATAAGGAAAAGAGTTTAAAAAAACACTGAAAGTACAAATTAAAAAGCTGCTACCAGAAAAGGAAATATAAGTGACTATTACATTTAAAAATAAAAATGAAGGGGACTAGAGAGACGGCTCAGCAGTCAAGAACACTGGTTGTTCTTGCAGAAGACCCGGGCTCGAATCCCAGCACCCACATGGCAGCAACTGTCCATAACTCCAGT